GTTAGCAAGCTCTCCAGGTGAGTCTCCCGCACAGATGAATGGGAGGACCCTTGCTAAGCATAGTTGCTTTGCAGAATTCCAGCCATAACTGACAGATTTCTAACCTCAGGATACTCATATCCATTCTCAAAAATGCTTGAAGGGGTCCCCCTTCACTCTGAACTTCAGAGACAGCACGGAGTCTGGTTGAAGAGGATTGAATGGTCTGGAATGATTACGACAAAACTTAACAAAATATGCACACACGATCACACACAGGACACTCATGTAACACAAGCCCAGCTGTTCCTTCATGCAGAATGGGGAGACTCCTTAGCTGGCCCACATCCTGCTCCGAATCATATTCTCTTGTTTGAAGGTGTTGGTTTTGCCTGTTCATTGGTTTGTCTCACTGAACTGCAAGTAATACCTCCTAGAGGGCATTGTCTTACAACAGAGCATTTTATTCCAACAGCGCAGAATTCTCTCTGGTCTCCTGGGTAATTGTTCTAAACTTTTAAGTACAACCTTCATCAACTATTTCCACAAATCTAGCTACTTCTACTCCTAATTTAAACGGGCATAATGTACAACTAATGGGAAATAAGGCTTGTTCTCCTCTACAACACATCTCACCACCCCTTCAAAGCTAGGAGCTGTGTGTGGCCCTAATACGAGCTGGTTTTACAGGAAGTCATGAATGGGTGGGGTAGTTTTAGAAACTGTCTTCCACACATTACCAGAAAGCAGCAGCCACCTCAGGGGTTTCCTGTCTCACTTTCTCAGCCCTGCGGTTGAGAACATAGGGCTCTAGAGGGAGACAGACCTAGGTTTTGTTTCCTGGCTCTGCTGAACTTGTAGAATGGGGTAAACTCCTACTTCCTAAGGAGGTGGTAAGAAAGCAAATGAGGCAGGTAACACACTTGGCACCATGCCTAGCCCCTGGTAAGCGCCCTCTAGTAGTGCGGATCACTTCATCCCCACGCACACGCACCCCTCTCCCACCAACACTGCCCGCAGCTCTGGGTGTCCAAACTCTTGCTTTTAGAGCACCAGTCTGTTCCGCTTTGCCGTGGCTGCCCTTGGCAAGCCCCACCTCTCCCAGCACACTCCCTGCCCTCCGTGCAGTGACTCAGGGCTTATTAACACGGAGCACCAGCTTCCTCTGGGAGGAATGGAGTCAGAGCGGTTGGCTCCAAAGAGGGGTGCAGAAGGGCCTCTGTTGGGAAGTAAGAAGAAAATATCAGAACTATCAGTCTTGCTTTTCGGCATGCTTCCAGACATTGGGGTGGGCACAGCCTTCTTTTTTTACTGATGGGTGCATGATCAAAACTTTTTATAGATCACAAAGGCGGCACGGAGATGATTAGTTGCTACAGTCCTAAGATATAGTTACATTCGATATTCCCATTTTATAGATGAGAAGACTGAGGCACAAAGTTTTGCCCAAGCTAGTATGTGGGGAAGCTGAGTGTCACACCCAGGCAAGTTGACTTCGGAGCTTAAACCCTCAACTGCTGTGGTACATGCCAACTAAAGATTTAGATGTACTTCATGTTTATAAGACTTCCTCAGTGTTGGGGCACCTGGGTGGCTCAGTTGGTTGGGCGATTGCCTTCGGCTCAGGTCATGATCCTGGAGTCTCGGGATCGAGTCCCGCATTGGGCTCCCTGCTCGGCGGGGAGTCTGCTTCTCCCTCTGACCCTCCCCGCTCTCATGCTCTCTCTCTCTAATAAATAAATAAATAAAATCTTAAAAAAAAAAAAACAACTTCCTCAGTGTTGTAGGAGAAACATAGGGATGTGTTGTTGAATCCCTGTCTTTTAAGATTTCCATTTAATATGATATTTTCAGAAACCATTAAGCTGTTTTAGATACTGGGGAAAAAAAAATGAAAAACAAAATTTGTAAATCTAAGTACAGATACAAGAACTGCCTTCCATGGCATGATAGCTACGATGACATTATTAGTTTTGTTGTAAATTTTGATATATGAACACATGCACCCACCTTGATGTTAACTATTAATCAGCCGATGGTTATCTCCTCACAATCTGAATTACAGCTAACTCACAGTGTAAGTTACACAGGATTTATAAGTCTACACTTCAATATTTAAAATTTCAGTGACCGGGGCGCCTGGGTGGCTCAGTCGTTAAGCGTCTGCCTTCGGCTCAGGTCATGATCCCAGGGTCCTGGGATCAAGCCCCGCATCGGGCTCC